CTCCGTATGATGTCCGAAATTTTGTTGCCTACATTTTCTTCTAGAATTTTTATGGATTCACGGGTCACATTTAAGTCTTTTATCCATTTCGAATTTATTTTTGTGTATGGTGTAAGTTGATGGTCTAGTTTCATTTTTTTGCATGTAGCTGTCCAATTTTCCCAACACTATGGCCTTCATTTTGAAATCTATTTTACCAGATATGAGTATTGCTACTGCAGCTTTTTTTTTTTTTTTTTCATTTGCATTTGCTTGGACATTTATTTTCATCCTTCACTTTCATCCTATTTGAGTCTTTTGTTGTGAGGTTGGTCTCTTGTAAACAACATATTGATGAGTCATGCTTTCTTATTTAAGCAGCTACTCTGTGTCTTTTTATCAGAGTATTCAATTCATTTACATTTAAGGTGATTATTGACATGTACTTATTATTGCCATTTTTGTTTAGTGTGGTGCTATATCTCTTCTTATTTCTCCTGCTAATTACAGCAGTCCTTTTAACATTTCTTGTAGAGCTGGTTTTGTGCTGATGTATTCTCTTACCCTTTTTACTTTTTTTTTATCTGTGCAGCTCTTTATTTGACTTTCTATTTTGAATGATAGCCTTGCTGGGTAGAGTAGTCTTGAATTCAGGTCTTTGTTTTTAATGACCTTGATTACTTCATGCCATTCTCTTCTGGCCTGTAGTGTTTTTGTTGAGAAGTCAGCTTACAATCTTATTGGGGTTCTTTTGTAGGTAACCTGTTGCTTATCTCTTGCTGCTTTTAGGATTCTCTTTTGGTCTTTAATTTTCGCATTTTGATTACTATGTGTCTTGGTGTGGGCCTGTTTGCGTTCTTCTTACCTGGGGCTCTCTTTGCTCCTTGAACTTGAATGCCTTCTTCCTTCACCAAATTAGGGAAGTTTTCTGTCACCATTTCTTCAAATAAATTCTCTAACACTTGCTCATTTTCTTCTTCAGGGACAACTATGATGCATATATTATTATGTTTCTAGTTGTCTCACAGTTCTCTTAAGCTGTCTTCCTGTTTTTTCATTGTTTTTTTTTTTTTTTCTTTTGGTTTTTTGATTTGTTGACTTTTTTCTACCCTGTCTTCTAATTCACTGATATGGTCCTCAGCTTCCTCTACTCTGCTGTTTAGACCTTCCAATGTCTTCTTTATTTCTGATATGTAATTCTTAATTTTTCCTTGGTGGTTTTTAATTTACAACTTGTTGATTTCAACATTTCTATGTCTTTACCCATGGTGCTCATGTCCTTACATATGCTGTTAAGCTTCCTCAAGATCATAGCTCTGAATTCTAGCTCTGTTAACTTGCTTAACTGTGTTTCATTTATCTCATCTTCTGTAAAGGTTTTTGTTCTTTCATTTGGCTTTTGTTTCTGTGTTTCACCATTTTGGCTATCACAGTGGGCTTTTGAACCTGCCACATTTTTTTTTGTGGTTGTTAGTGTTCTGCTGTTTGTGGCTCTCTTTCATAGGTTTATATGAGCCAGGGAGAACCCACGTTAAATACCACAGTCAAGTCTTACTTTCCTCATTAGAGCTGGTATCCCAGGAATAGTACAGTTATCCTCTAGCATTTTGCCTGGAGGCTCTCAGTAGTGGTTAGTTGAAGAGCCTTGGCTTCTCAGTTGAATGAAAAACTCCCTCAGGTGTTCAGCATAAGGGGATTTCCCAAAGGTGGGGCAGATGTGGTTGTTAATGGGCCTCAGTTTAATTTCAATGGCCACCAGGTGGGGTTGAATCTCCAAAGGAGGGCCCGTTGCCTCTCTCCAGAGCCCTGGGAAGGAGTAAGATGACTATAGTCCTGTGTGCCAGCAACTGAGCAAAAGCTCTGAGTGCCCGTCAAATCCCGAGTGTCCCTACACAGTTCCAGTCCGTTCCACCCTCCCTCTGCTGGAGCCCACGGTAAGTGGCTGTGGCTATTTTAGCCTGTGTCCCGGCTCTGTGCTTTTTAGCCACTTGGGAGTTTAACCCAAGGGCACTGCCCACAGCTAAAGCTGCTGCTGTCTGTGGGCTCCCAGGCCCCCTCTCACTCCTCCACAATCCTACCAGTATCAATATGTGTCCCTGGTTATATGGTACTCCAAGCTGCTTTTCTGTTGCTTTCTCCTGACGATTTGTCTTTATTTTTATTTTAATTCCAGTTTTGTCCTGGGAGATGGTCTGTGGAGCTTCCATTTACTCTGCCACTATTTTGCAATCCTCAGTTGAATGCACTATTATGTTTACATGTTTTACTACTGGTTTTTCAACCCTGTCCAAATTGGTTCCCTCCTTTTACTGACTGTATCATAGGCTCCTCTCTCTGGCTGGATATAGCGAACTTCCTGCTGCTGGTTTCCTATCTGCTGGGGACAGGTGCTTTGGGGGCTAAAGAGTGCGGGTGGGAAGTCTTAGAGCTATGCTGGGCTAACTTTATAGTGTGGATATTGCTTTTACCAAATCCCTGTTAGTGGAGTAGTCTGCACTTCTCCCTTGCATTTAACTGTTCTCTAGTTTATCTAACAATGAGATACTGTGCTTACCACCATCCTTTAATTTTATAATAAAAATGGTCTTAGACTCTGGCACTTTACTTTGTTTTACTTAATAAATTGAGAATTTTACTATGCAGAGCTATCAATAACCTTAAAACTATTGGTATGTGGCTGTAAATTACTAGGTCTCATCTTTGGGACAATATTTATTGTTCCCACATACAGTGTTTAGCATTTACCCAGGGCTAGGGGGCTAGGCAATAGCTTTTGAGCTTAAACTTCCATGTGTGAACAAATTAAATTCTTTAGCACCTCAGTCCTGGTCGTTTTATTGGGAAAAATTCAGGGTCAGCCGAAGCTAGAGCCCTAGAGAAAAAAGACCCTCACCAGCACGATCGGAGGGCTGAGGAGTATCCTGGCATGTGCAGCACAGTGTGTGTAGCAGTTCTCACTAGCTGGCATCCTTGGCTTCTACTATGTCTTTGTTATAAGGTCTCAGCGATTTACAGAACTCTTCCTTCTTTTCTACTATCTCTCATCTTTGCTTCTGAAATAAGAACCATTTGTGTAACACCAATACTTAAGAAAGACATGCATTGTGTGGTTGCAATCAAACATGATGCTTTCAGATGACCTATTTATAGCTTCAATGTGGGAAAAGATTAAGAAAAAAACAAATTCATCTAAACTTCTGGGAAATCCAGCTGACTTTTAAATGTAAGAATTAAATTCTAAGCACTTAACACATTCGATTATATGATGGAAAGTAAATCTATGGATTTGGTATTTTGTGAATGATCTTTTAAATAAAAGAAAAGCTTACGTAATGAAAATAAAAAAATAAAAAAACTGAATCACCTTTGTTGAAACTATGGAAAATAGTCAAAGTCTTATAGCAACAAAGTAAATGGCTAATCAAAAAAAGTCAACTGAAATACAGTAGGGGAGCTTTTTAATATTTTAACTTGTCTTGCCTAACCCTGTCCCCATACTACACTATCTTAAAGAAACAGCTAATGTTTTCAGTATGAGTTCATGGTTCTGGAGCAAAATAAATCTTATTCTCAAAATTAAGTTTGTTAATTTTAACCTGTTGAAGGATACTGGGGGAGGGGGTTCAATTAAACACACAAAAAAGCTATAATAAAACTATTGAAAACATAGGAATAATACAGGAAAAGACAGAAGCAAAATGGCAGAAGTAAGTCCTTTGTTATCAGTAGTTACTAAATGTGGTTACTCCAACCAAAAGACAGGTTGCAGAATAGATTTAAAAATGTGATCAATCTAACCTTGCTGGTTTTGCTCAGTGGTTAGAGCGTCGGCCTGCAATCCAGAGACCAGGGTTCAGTTCCTGCTAAGGGCACGTACGTTGGTTGCTGTTTGTCCCCGGCCCTGGTTGGGTCGTGCGGGTGGCAACAACTCGATGTGTCCCTTTCACATCAGTGTTTCTCTCTCTCTCTTTCTTCCTCCCACTCTATCTGAACAAAAAATTTCGTCGGGTGAGGATAAAAAAAAAATGTGATCAATTTATATGCTATTTACTAGAGGCTCATTTTAGATCCACAGAAACATTTAGTTTTAAAGCAAAGGATGGAGAAAGATATGGGATAAAAATTATAACCGAAAGAGTTTGGGTGGTTATACAAAAATACAGTGGTCCCTCGTCACTTCGTGCTTCAACTTTCTCGGCTTTATTCTGTCACGTGTTTTTCAAATATATTCATTAAAAATTGATCAAGACAGTGAAAATGATACAGCATGCACTCGGTTTTATGAGTCAATTATACACCTCTGTATTATAATTAAAGTTAAAATTATTTTACATATGGACTCTAGGCCTATGTATTCAAGCACCCCAGGAATCCTTCAATGCCAGGTACACTGCTAGAGTCTGGAACAGATTAACAGTGATAAACGAGAGATGACTGTATTACAATGGACAAAGGAGTATATATTATGATAAAAAGGGCCAATCTTTCAAAAATATATAACTTTATAAACTTAAACACTCTTAACATAGACCTGTATAATATATACAGCAAAGATTGCCAGAAATGAAGAGATAAATAGATGGCTCTATAATTACAATTGAAAACTTCAATAACTTGCTTTTAATAATAGATGAAACAACTAAAGTAAATGAGGAAATAAAGATTTGATAACACTATCAATCAACTAGACCTAAGAGACAATACATTTTACCCAAGCACAGTAGAAAATGCATTTTTTTTAATAATACATAGGACATTATTCAGGATACCATATGTTAGACCACCAAATAAGCATCAATATATTTACAAAGCCTGAAATAACACAGAGTATTTTTGGCAACAATGACATTTATACTTGCAAATGGCTACATTAAAAAATCTCCAATCATTAACTTAAATTTATACCTTGAACTAGGAAAGGAAAAGCAAACTAAAGCAAAGCTATTAAGCAAAAGAAAATATTAAGAAGTAGAGTGAAGAATAATGACACTGACAATTGAAAATCAATAGTGACCCTTGCCACCACCAACATGGAGACTCTGTACCGAGTCCCATTCTTAGTGCTGGAATGCCCCAACCTGAAGCTGAAGAAGCCACCATGGGTGCACATGACCTTGGCCATGATGGTGTACACTCTGGTGGTGGTGTCTTACTCCTTCACCACCGGAGGAATAATTTATGATATTATTGTTGAACCTCCAAGTGTTGACTCTATGACTGATGAAAATGGGCATCAGAGACCAGAGAATTTCTTAGCCTACAGGGGCTATCTGATGGGTTAGAGTGCCTTTTGAGAAGAAATCTGTGGATACTGGATTTGTTCCTGCTAATGAAGTTTTAAAGACTATAACAAACCTCTGATATAAAATATAGAAAAAGATAAAAAGCAGCAGAAAAAGAGCGTGTAGTAGAAAACATGGGAAGCATTAAAGTTTGGGCCATAATATCAAAGGGACAAGATCATCACAGTGTTTTTGCTGCTGACGTACTCTGATGTACCAATGATGTTAAGTGGCATTTTCTTCTCAGTTTTTAATTTCTTAAAATATACTCCATTTTTCCACCTGTAATATTGAATAAACTAATTGTTTTTTACAACCCTCAACATTTTTTGGAGATGACATTTCTGACTTTGAGAAATTAATGTAAAATGAGGTAGCAAGATCCCATAAGCTGAGAAGTCTGGACAGCTGATCAGCTTCACCTGTGGTGCTTTGCCTTTAAACAGAGTGTGTGACAATACATTATTTCAGACGTGTATGTGAGGCTGTTTCCTGAACAGTGAGGTGCATAAAAGGAGCACAAATAAAGAATTTTTCTAATTAAAAAAAAGAAAAGAAAATCAATAAAAAAAAAACCCACAAAAATAAAATTTGGCTCTTTGAAAAGACCAACAAAATTGTCATACCTCTATGTACTGACAATAAAATAAAGATAAGATATCTAAATTATTAAAATAAGTACTGAAAACTTGGCCACTACTAAAACTTTACATAAATAAAACTGATTTAAAATGGTTAAAATAATAAATTTTATGTTATGTGTATTTTATCAAAACCAAAAGGTTTTAGTACATGTCAAATGTAAGTAACAGCTATTACTGTCCATAAGATGAGCATTTTCAAAGAAAATAGATAAAAAGAAAATATGTTTTTAAAATTTTAGGTATCTGCTTCCTCAGCCTTTTTAAGCATTTAAAGGAATGTAATATTTAGATATGATTTCAATAAAATGCTTAGAGCTATGTTAATGTTTCAGACAATTAATGCTTTTGCACATTTTACTTGAAAATACATATATTAAAAAATAGATTGGGAATTGCATAAAAGCATGGCAGTGGGCAGGACCAGTGAAAGGGTGAGTGCGTGAGAGAGTGAGCTAGTGTGTGAAAAAGTGTGAGTGGACGTGAAGGTGGATGACCACATTTGTGCAGTGCAGAGATGTGGAGCTGACGGTTTCTGTGCCCTGGACTGGGAGCAGCCAGGTACCTTTGTAAGCAACCCTTCAGGGCACTTCTCCCTGTGCTTCAAGGAGGTACCACCATTTTGAAAGATCCCAGGTCTTCCCTGGGAGGAGGCAGTGGGAGCTGCTAGGGCCCAGCAGCCTGAGCCCAACAGCACACCTGGCACCATCAAACCAGTGCGCACTCTGTGTCAACACAGACCAGTGCACAGTAGTGGAGCTGCCAAGGTGCCGATCTCAGAAGCCACAGACAGCCAGGGGACCAGCACCATCCCCCATAGTAGCAGCCCAATCAGAGTCCAGATATACCCCCAGCAACAGAGACTGGGGCCAGACATCCATCCCCAGACAACAGAAGTGCATACTGGCAGCAGAGAACCATTCCCAAAAATTAGCAAAGGCTAAGCAGGAGCTGAGCCCCACAGGGCAGCAGCACTCCCCAGAAGCACTTCCCAGCCACCAGAGGTGAGACCTGGGGCTCCATAGGGCCCTGTGTGACCCAGCAGCTCACAAGAGCAGTGCAGAACAAGGGCTCAAGAGGGACCAGTGTGATCCAGCTCCCCACGGGACCTGTGGGGACTCAGGGACCCAAAGAGGCCTGTGCAACCCAGCTGCCCACAAAATAGACTAGGAGCTGGGTCTCCAGAAGGGATTTTGCAATCTAGATCCTCATGGGATAAAAAGGAAGCAGGGGCTACAATGGGGCCTGTAAAACCCAGCTGCCCACAAGATTGGTGAGGTAACAGGGTTCTAGCAGGGCCTGTGCAACACAGCTGCCTGTGGGTTTAGCTGGGAGCTGGGGCTCAAGATGGGCTTGTGTGACCCAACCACCCAAGGTGTGGGCAGGGAGTGCAAATTCAGCAGAGCCTGAGCAATATAGCTACAGGTGGCACCAGCAACCACCAGGAAAAACAGCTTCAGAGGGGCCCATGCAATTCAGCAGCAGAATTTACCAGGACACACCAATACCAGCCCCAAGTAGTCAGTCCTCCAGGATCTACAGCAGGCAAAAGACAGCACACAACAGAACAGTCTGAGAGGCACAGTAGCCTTTTTTGATATACAGTGAGCTGCCTACACATCCAAATATCCCTCACTGGGTTTAGAGCTACCAGGCCGCTAAAACAACACACAAAGGAAACACAAAGAGGAATCATTAGAAAAGAAACTACAGGAAATGGAAGAAGGCAACTTGTCAGATTAAGGATTCAAAGAAATGATTTTAAGGGTGCTCAAACAATTTGGTGAGAACTACAAGCAACTTAAGAATTATGAAGTAGTCCAGCTTAAAAAACTACTTCAGCTTAAAAAAAAAGAGGTAGAAGCTATGCATAAAGAGGTAGAAGCTATGTATAAAAATCAGGAGGAAATAAAGAATGACATAGCTTTTATGAAAAATACATTAGAAGGTTTCAATAGTAGATTAGAAGAAGCTGAAGACTAAATCAGCAACTGAGAAGACAAGGTAGAGAAAAACACCTAAATAGAGCAGCAAATGAAAAAAAAGTTTCAAAATCAGTAGGAGAACCCTGGCTATATTGGCTCAGTGGTTAGAGTGTTGTACTGTGGTTCGGAGAGACCCAAGTTTGGTTCCCGCTAAGGGCACATACCTTGGTTGCAGTGTTTCCCTGGCCCTGGTTGGGTTGTGCGGGTGTCAGCCAATCGATGTGTCCCTTTCATGTCGATGCTTCTCTCTCTCTTTCTTTTCATCTTTCCCTCCCACTCTATCTGAACAAAAAATGGAAAAATGTCTTCAGGTGAGGATAAAATAAATAAGTAAATAAAAAGCAGCAGGAGAGTTTAAGGGAGTTGTGGGAGAATACGAAATGTAACAACATTCGTATTATAGGGATACCGGAAGGAGAAGAATCATAGAAAGGAATACAGAACCAGTTTGAAAAAATGACAGAAAACTTCCTTAAACTGGTGAAGAAAAAAGTCACACAAGTACAGAAAATGCAGAGATTCCCAAGTAAGATGAATCCAAGAACACCTGAAGCTAGATACCTCATAATAAAAATGGCAAACATTAAAGAAAAAGACAGAATCTTAAAGAAACCAAGAGAGAGACAGAAAGTGACCTACAAGAGAGCTCCCATTAGACTGTCAGCTGATTTCTCAACAGAAACACTGCAGGCCGGAAGGGAGTGGCATAAAGTGTACAAAGTAATGCAAGGCAAGGGTCTGCATCCAAGACTACCCTATCCAGCAAGACTATCATTCAAAATTGAAGGAGAAATAAACATCTGTGTGGATTAAAAAAAAGCTAAAGGAATTTACAACAACCAAACCAGTACTGCAAGAAATGCTATAGGGACTGTTGTAAGAAGAAGAAACAGGGGGAGAGAGAGAGGAACACAAACATAAAATTAAAATGGCAACAAATAACTATCCATCAATAATTACCTTAAATGTAAATGGCTTATTTGCTCCAATCAAAAGACATAGGATACCTGATTGGATAAGAAAACATGACCCATATATATGCTGTCTACAAGAGACCTACCTTACAACAAAAGACTCACACAGAATGAAAGTGAAGAGGTGGAAAAATTTTTTTTCCAAGCAAGTGGAAATGAAAAAAGAGCTTGTATAGCAATACTCATATCTGACAAGATAGACTTCAAAAATAGGGCCATAATAAGAGACAGAGAAGGTCACTACATAATATTAAAAGGATCAATCCAACAAGAAGATATAACCCTGGTAAATATATATGCATCAAATACAGAAGCACCCAAATATATTAAAAACTTTTGGAGGACTTCAAGGAGATCAATAGCAATATGGTCATAGTGGAGATCAATAGCAATATGGTCATAGTGGGTGACTTAAACATGCCACTGACACCACTGGATATTTTTTCAAGACAAAAAATTAACAAGGACATAGAGTCCTTAAAAGACAAAATAGATCAGTTGGATTTCATTGACATTTATAAAACATTTATACCAAAACTGCAAAATATACAGTCTTCTCAAGTGCACATGGGACATTCTCAAAGATAGAACACATGGTAGGACACAAAGCAAGTTTCTACATTTTCAGGAAGATTGAAATCATATCAAATATCTACTCAGATCACAGTGGCATGAAACTAGAACTCAATTACACTAAAAACACACAAAAACATTCAAACACTTGGAGGCAAAATAGCATGTTATTAAACAACAAATGGATTACTAATGTTATAAAGGAAGAAACTAAAAACTTTCAGGAAACTAATGAAAACAGACACACAAAAACGCAACATCTATGGGACAAAGGAAAAGCAGTCCTGACTGGGAAGTTTTTAGCCCTACAGGCCTACCTCAAGAAACAAAGAAAATTTATAATTGATTCTCTAATGCTACAACTTAAAGAACTAGAAAGTCAACAAAAAGAAAAACCCAAAGCTAGTAGGATGAAGGAAATAGTAATGGTCAGAGCAGAAGTAAATGACAGAGAGACCCCCCCCCACAAATAAAAGGAAAAAAGAAAAAGAAAAGAAATAAACAATTCAAAAGATCAATGAAACAAAAACCCCGTTCTTTAAAAATATAAACAGATCAATAAACCTTTAGCCAGACTCACCAAGAAAGAAAAGGAGAGAAACCAAATAAACAAAATCAGAAACAAAAGAGGAGAAATAACAACTGACACCACAGAAATACAAAGGATCATCAAAACATACTACGAACCATTAATATGCAAACAAATTGGATAATCTAGGAAAAATAGACAAATTTCTAGAAACATACAGCCTCCAAAACTAAACCAGGAACAGATAGAAAACGTGACCAGATCAATAACAAAAAATCAAATTAAAGATGTAATTAAG